GTAGCTGGATTCTAAAAATTACCTATCTAATAATAACATTTACTGAACTTTTTTATTACTTTATCCTAGATTCTTAAAACAGCTAGTTATGAAGAGGGCAAACACAGCACCCACTCCTGCTATTCAGAATGATCACCAGGCTGTGTCTGATGATGCCACATCTAAGGGAAGGTATAAAAGTGTGCTGTTGACTTCTCAGCAGGGTTCGCCATCATCTTCCACACTAGCGCCAGGGTTTCTACATTCATTTGGATTTGCTAAAACCACAGCATCATCTGATGCCGGTATGTTTATATCAACTTAACTATTTGGAACAGTGATTGAAAATATTTAGATTATGAGCTCAAGTCTTTTATGAGGTGATAGTTGACAACGTCAAAGGCTGAACCAACTGCAGTTGAACCTCCAGTTGTGACCACCTCATGTGAGGGACCATCTCTCCTCAGCGAACAGTTTTCCAAAATACCAAAAGTTTTCAAGTCAAATCACTATATTTTGAACCTCGTGTAAGTGACCACCTCTTGTAAGCAACTGCAACCACTTTGAGAGCTAAAAGTTTGAAATTTTCTGTTGTCTTGAACCTCTCGTAAGCTAACATTTGACAGATAATAGAGCATAAAATGGGATAATAAAGTGGTGCAACATTATCACATTCCTGGGTTGTACAAGAGATGGAAATTTCTCAATGGGAAATACCAGATTTTTTCTCGAAATTGGCTTTTTACATGAATAAAACATTTAAAACACGGGGTAAGTCTCTGCAGTTACACGTACCATATGCTAATGAGACAGAATTTTGACCCAATATGGTCTAAGCTCTCGGAAACAAACACCTCCCGTAAGCAACCACCTAGGCTTGACATTTTGGGTGGTCGCTTACGGGAGGTTCGACTGTATCACCTCATAGAAAATGAGAACAAATAATCTTATTGTTTCAGTAGTAGAATTCTTACTGAAATTTCTTCAAATAACCATTTTCAATCATTTCTTTATTTTGTAATAAACTTCACACTTCATAAAAATTGCATGGGCTGAATTGCCATTTAAATTTTACAGTTCAATACACATGGATGTTTTGGGGGAACACTGAGAAAAATGGACAACTGAATTCCAGAAAAGACTAAAAGAAGGACATCCATTGTTTCTAGACTTTAAATTGTTTTTATTGTAAAAATAACTGAAGAGTAAGTTACTCTTCAGTTATTTTTACAATAAAAACAATTTGAAGTCTAGAAACAATGGATGTCCTTCTTTTAGTCTTTTCTGGAATTCAGTTGTCCATTTTTCTCAGTGTTCCCCTGAAACGTCCATAAAATAATAAAACATTGCCATTTTGTATATATGACCAGCAGTTACTGCACACTAATGGCTGATAGTGTATGGTAGCTTAGCCTATTAGATTATAGCATTTGCGTTAGTATACTGTTAGTCTCCTATGAGCAAAAGTTAAAGAGGCACAGCCAAGTTGACTATGGCCGTTTTCAAGTTCAGTTAAAGGATGAAATTAACATGTTTAAAACTCCTATATTTAACATAGGATCCAGTGAGTCCAGTGTGGAACCCACCCAACAAACTTCAAGCGTACTTGATGGGAGTGGAAATTGTCAGTAAGTACATTACTTTGTGACCACAAGAAATTTGCCCTTTTTTGTCCTGTACAGAATGTCTTTAAAATCAGGCAGTATTAAATTTCAAAGTACTGCTTTTAATAAATTAGTTTCTGAGCAATTTACTGAACGATGCACTGGCCTTAACTTGCTTATGACTTGTACTAACTTGTTTTTATCAATCTTATGTCCACAATAACAGATCCAATCATTCTGACAGTTTACTGCCAAGACAGGAAAACAATTTAAAGAAAGAAAAACACGTTGATCTCTCGGAGTCACAACTTAATTTCCTATCACATAACTTATCAGAAATTGCTGATAGAATATCGCCATCAAAATATGATATCATGATTGAAACAGACTGCGAACCCTCAGAAACTTTGATGGATGATAATGAAGGGCAGTCCTTACAGGCAGCCTTCTCCAATGCTGAACAATCCCGCTTAAAAACTCCATACGCCAGGCCAAGAAGAGGATCTAAGACCTATGTGTCTAAACAGAAGAGTTTTACCAGGAGAGGGTCTCAGGGCCATCACCTCTACAGCTCCTACCAGGAAATGACAAACAGTGAAGACATTTCTGTGGATACTACCAATATCCTAACTCTTAGTAACCAAGAAGCATTTAAGCATGATAGTGAAAGTGATTCTGGGTATAGTTCATCAATGTCAGCCTCTATTAGCTTGAGTGAAGAAATTGAAGCTTCAAAGAGGCTTAGCTTAGAAAATGGATCTGTGACGGACGTTGACACTGATGATCTCTCAACTGGTGGAGATGATATCGTGAGAAAAAACTCTACTCGCCCACTATTGCGTCAAAGCTCAAGCAATCTTGAGGAAAGGCTGGATTCTTTAATTCATGGAATGTCATCTGAAATTGATAAGCTTGATTTAAATGGTGAATTAACAGCAGGAAAGGAATGTCCTTCTCTAGAAGGTGTATCAAATACCTTAGATGAATCATTGGCAAGTTTTAAGTTATCTTTTCCTGACGATCACGAAAAAGATCAACCCAAGGAAAAATCGAAAGAACTTTCAGATAATTTAGCAAAACCACCCTTTCCTGTTAAAAACAAAAAGATGTCTTCAGATGATAGTGCTTTACCCAGAACGAAAAGCAGTAGAAGACCTGGTGTTCTGCGGCGACGAACCACTTTGGTATCTTTTCGTCCTCCAAAACAAATGACAGTCCAAGAAGGAGAGAGTGACATTGTTGAAATGGATGAAGCTGGTTTCTTGCAGATGTTGACAGACGTTAAATCTTTAAAGACTCAGTTACTAAAATTGAAACGTGAATTACAAGAGGTAAGTTGTAGATATTTTCACAAAAATTATTGTAAATGAATGCCTGCAGCCTGAAAAGTGTTCAAAGCTATTAGCGACCTGTGGACAAGTCTGATACTTGTCTTCTTGTCCTTTAACTTAAGAGTTGGGGTAAGACTATGACCTTTAGTAAGTCAACTCTGTGAAAGTTCTTTGTTATAGTCAGCTGATCAAAAGAAACAGATAGAGTAAGATTTCAGAGGAAGAGTTAGTACAACTTGCACATTTGTAATGCAAATTGTTCTTATTGCTGTAGGTAGATGTTGTCTCTCCACTGATGCATTCACAATCCTCTGTGGTGAGAAGAGCTTCTTTTTCTGTTGATGCAGATCCTTCAATGGACAGAGCTTCCACAGTTTATCGAAAGGTACCTTTTTCTTTTCATGTGTAATGGTTTTTTTTTTTGTCAGAAAAGTTTGGGAACGAGAGGATGTGTACAAGTTGTATGACGAACTGTTCAAGATTTCCAAAGAATCTTTACATGGATGTATCTGCTCAAATTGTGCATTGAATTTTTAGATGTCACACAGGAATGTGGAGGTTGTTTGTCAAGTAGATATAAGTAAAATGTCCTCCATGCATATAACAAGTTAAGATCATTGTTGCTAAGTTGCAGTTTCCTGGAAATTATTAGGGGATTGGAGATCTGGGATCTGGGATTGTAATTGACTCATAATTTGAAAATAGTTAAATAAATTAATAAATAAATATTAAGGATGATAATTACTACAACTTCTTACTATGGAATGAAACTTAGTACAAATTGCTCTTGTACTTGTTGGTCTTCGTGGCTATTTTTTTTTTGTTAGAGGTGTGGATCAAAAATGCTTGATTTTGTAATGAAAAGTGGTGCCACCAAAATAAAATTTTTTTGACTTCTTATGTTGATATGAATAACTGGGACTTGACTGTGAAGAAGGCCTGGGACTGAGGAAAGATCTCACAAATTGCAAAGAGCTCAATCACACCTTAGTCAGCAGTGTTGTGTCTGGCACAGATGATAAAATGCTACCAGAAACCATAATGAATGCTTTGCAAGTTCCAAGAATATATATATTTTTTTGATAAATAGAGGACTTACATGTATCCGCCAAAATATGATGATAGGAGTGATGAGTAGATTGCACTGGTAGTTTGTTCATTAAATGTCAAAGTGTTCCGTCTAAGTGTTCCCATAGTGCTTACCACTATTTTTTTCGTTATTTATTTCAATTTTGATCCTCCATCCTCCATCCTCAACTTGCTATATGTTTTGAATAATAATAATTAAGTGGAGAACATTTTCTGTGTTTCTATTGATTTTTTTATCATAAATCTACTAGTGTTCTATCAGGCATGCCATTCTCTGATTGGCTACACTCACTATCTACTCTGTTGTGGATGGTAAGTAGCCTAGCAGTGTGCGGTTAGATAA